AATGTATTATATTTAATTATAATATATAATTTTAAAAAGAATTATGGATGATGAATTTTTTTGAAGCATTATTCTACATAAGCATATTTTGATATTTATAAAATATCATTAAAGTTTTAATACTATTTTTGTTATTATTAAACTTTTGATATTTCTATTTGGAATATATAAATATTTAGAATTTCTTTAAAATAAACATTAAAAGTATCTTGTCATATACATGATAATTTTATTTAAAATTTCAAATATTTTACAAACTTTTAAACCCTTAATTCAAATTTCCAATGCAAATATTATAAAATTTATTTTTTATTGTAATTATTTTTATAAAAAAAATTAAAATAAAATATTTTTTCCATCATTTAATAGTATATATTGTGTGCAAGTAAAAATATAAGGAGTTTATTCATTTTCTTAAGATTATCAAACTATTTATTATAATATTTTTAAATTACAAAAAATATATTAGTAAACTAAAAAAGAAGGTTCAAATGATATAAAAAATATATATAATATGATTGCTAATACTTTGGCAATTAACATATAAAAGAAGTGAATCAAATAATATATTTTTTCTTTCATTATATTGTGCTCAAATTTATAAAAATCATTAAAAATAATCTATAGAAAAAAAGTCTTAATATAATAAAAAATGAAACAAATGTAATTGTAAAGAAACTTTAAATTAAAACAAAAATATAAAATAGATTGAAATGTTGTGCAAGAAAAATTTTAAACCACTTCTTTCTTTGGAAAAGGATCTTACATACCTTTATAGTATCAATAACACCACCTTTTATAGAGACACATTTACAAACTTAGTTTACTTAGAGTAAAAATGCATGAATACAAGTTTGGAGTGTAAAATGTAAGATATATGGTTTAGAATATAAAATGTAGAGTTTAGAATGTAAAATATAGGATTTAGAATTTGTATAGGGTGTAGGATGTCTAAATCTAAACTTTAGGATTATGTAGATTATATAAGATCTAAAAAAATAGCATTCAAGTATATAAAAGAGAATTTAGATTATTATAGCACTTAATGTAATGTAATCTACAATTATAATATAGTTGTTGTTGTTGCCATATTGGTGACAAAGATATGATGTGGTACAATTGGGTAAGAGCAAAGGTGGGTCAGTTTAAGATTTATTTGGATTAATTTAATATTTTCCTAAAAATGTATTAAATAAGAATAGAGTAGAAAAAAAATGTTTGTAATATATTACAATAAGATTTTTATTCTATAACTTAATTTCAAAGGAAGAAAATTTTAATTTAATTATAAATCTTTGAATTTATTTAATATTTTAAAAAGATCTTAAAATAACCAGAAAAGCCATTTATGGATTGCTTTTGAATCCTCAAATTAAAAAAAATAAAAAATATCAAAAAAAATATCAATAAAGAGCCAATATATTAAAAATATTGGATCAAGTGAATTTTGTAAAATATCTTTTTCTTATCTTGTTTTCTCTTTTGACACCTTCTATCATCAATTTGTAAAATACAATGTGTAGGTAATATTTTTAAAACTATGTTGCATTTTAGTGTTTAATTATGCTTATACTGATATAGTTTGGAATAGTGATTAATAGAAGAAAAAAAATTCAAGTTTGTAGGTATTAAAGCTCAAACAATATTTGATGGTATATTTTTAGCATGAATATAGAAGAAATTGGTCTCAAACTTGAATACACAAATAAAATATGGTGAACCAATTGTCAATGGAATATAGTGGGTCTATGGAGCAATTACAAATGCCTCAAATATAGTAGATAATGCAAATCCAAAGATCAAGCTACATATTATATATGCTCAGCTCTTTGAAAATTTTAAAGATTTTATTAAGATAAGATAGCTAATCCATTGTTGACCACCCTCTCCCCCCTTCCATTTCCAACAAATAGGATACATTATTTTTGTTAGTCCAACAACCGGATCTCATATCCATTGATTGGAAATAGGTCAAGGATTAGTTAAAATAAAGTTATGATCAACGAATGAAATTCATTGTATTTAGAATGGATATATGTGAATTATCAATAGGTGGCAATTATTGATTGATTGAGATGGAGTAATAATATAATTAAGTGACTTTCTACTCTTGGTAGCACTAATAGGCACCACACATCAAGGTTTTGTAAAAGTTGGATTCTCATTTTTGTAACCCACTATTGGTCAAAATTATATTGGCCTCTATGTTGGAATGGGTCAAAGAGAATCTTCAACTAAAACATTTATATAAATTTTGTTTTTGGATCAAATTGTGTAAAAACACTTGAAACCCTCCTAATTTCTATTTCCCTACATGGAGGTATTTTTTTCCATTTCTACACCTACTGGATGCTTTTCTTAGAAATGCTTAAGTTCTCGAAAATGGGTTGTCAACCTTATCCAACCAAAAGTTCCAAATGGGCAGGTTTTATAGATGGAGCATAACCAAAGCAGGGCCAACAAAACTATGTGGGTCTTCCATACCTTTTTCTTTTGTAAAACCCTAAAAAGAAAATGTAGAAAATGCAGGTTGTGAAAGCTGTTATCAAAAGACAGAAAAAGCATAGCTAAAGATGTTGCAATGTGGTGTAAAATAATCAAAACAATGAAGGCACATTCAACCAATTTTTGAGGTTGAAAATTGAACTAGGGTTTTTTACATGCAAAGATGGGGGCTGTGGCGTGCACTCTCGAGAGTCACTCACATCATATTGTGCATGTACCTTGTGATGAGACCCAGGAACCAAATGGGAGGAAGGCAACATCAGCAGTACCTGCTGTGTACTAAAGGCTACTTTTGGAGGTATTTAAATTTTTTTCATTATGCTTTTGTTAGTGGGTTCACAAGACTTTTCATCACAGAATTGCATATAGAATTGTTGACAGTACTCTTAGTGGAAAGAATTTTTATTGGTCAACACACAGCCCAAAAAAATGATATAATGACAAGGCTCTTGCTGCCGAAGTAAATCAAAAGAAGGCTTTTCTGTGTCAAAATTTTGCAACTATTTTGCCATGGAGTAAGACATGGGAATAGTGGCATTCATAGTGTGGTTGATTCATCCTACGATTCATCCATGAGCATTTTAAAAACAATTTGGACCAGCTATTATTTGCGCTGTTGTAGGCTACAAAGTGACTCCCTTCATGCAATCCATCCTTTATTGTACTCTCATGTTTATGTGGCCACAAACTGAAGATTGTTGGCAGGATAATACATATTTTTTGTTGTGATCCTCTATAGCTGAAACTAGATAATTCATTTGAAAATGTCATTGGAACTTGTGGATTATCTAACCAAGCAAGCCACTATTGGTGATGTAGATAAAAAATTAAAATATAAAAAATATTGCTTCTTAGCTAATTTGAAACAAAAAATTAAATAAAATATTCTTTTGTACAATTCTATAGAAGTAACTTAATTTTTTAGAATTGTACACTCTCGCTTGACTTGACTTGAGCGTGTGGAAGGCGCATTTTGACTGTGCGCTATATGCTTCGCTTTGCTTTGCTTTGCAGAGCTTTGCGTTGCTTTGCATAGCTTTGCGTTGCTTTGCTCGCGGGGAAGTGCACCTGGTTTTCGAGCTCTGCTTCACCTGATGCACTCACGGGGAAAGCTGACCTGCAGCTGGACCAGAGCATCGACCTCCGGAGCTCAAAAGCGACGCCGGAGACTCAGCCCTTCAGCGAGACCGGCCTCCCGTGGGGACGGTGGCTGCACCGGAGTCATGGAACCAGCAGTAGCTGCTTATCTCCTCCCCTCATTCAATTTCCCATGGCTTTCGTAAAAGTGTGCCACGCGCAAAAGCTTGGACGCTCATCACCTCCCCCTGTCCTCCGCAGCAGTATTCCTGCCGCATCTGCCGGGCCACCGCAGCCAGAAGCTTCAGTTTCATCACATTCTGTCGCAATTTACATGTATGTATGTCCATGGATGGACCTTGAGGAGTGTGGTATCGGTTTACTCGTGCATTTGTACGAAATACACGTGTGGGATGGATTCCTCTTGAAGCGTCAGAAAGGCTTGTGTATAAGCACTACGGCTTTTGTCTTAACTAAAGCAGGAGTGGTGGAAAAGTGTTGTGGCCGTGGAGCCTACAGTGGAGTAAGAATCTTGGCAAACAAGATGGTCGTAGTCATGTCCACTTAACAAAATCATGAAGATTGATGAGAGGGGCGCACTTAGTACCACAGAATGCTACAGAATTATGTCCTGATCCTTGGGTGCTCTCGGCGTATATTCATATGAGCAATGATTCGCCGCGGATCAAGGTTGTTGAGAACGGTAGAGGTGGAATAGAATGCACATGAAAATGTAGTTTTAAGTGCGATGTTTTGTGTGATGAAAATCCTTACTCTTCTGCTTAACAAACTGGTTCAACGCGTCCTACGTGCATTACCCTGCCACTGTTTGTGAGAGGCCGTGTTGCAGTGTGAACAGTCCTCCTCGAAGACGATAGATAAGAGACGCCCAACCAGAATGGCATGCCGTCATATACTCTTGACAGTTACTTGGGTGATGAACATGTTTATCAAACGTCAACGACAATGTTATCCTCAATAAATCTGAAAAAAAGCACCAGCTGCACGACTTGAGTGTGAGGCAGAACAAACTTGGCCATGAAAATTGATTTAGCTGGAATCCCTCTCCCTTAAAAAAGATGCAACCCCACGAAAACCAGGGACAAGGACAGAGCTTATATAATCACAGATAGCCCGTCTTTGCAAAGTAACTTTAGAATCATGACAGCAGAATTTTCTGCTACCTGCATCGTAAGATAGAATCCTTCCATGAATCACTATAGTTCTCACGAGGTTCCCAAATCCCCTCCCATTGGCCCAATGAATGTCCCACCGGCTGCAATTGGATGTCCCTCCCGATTATCTTTGTTTTGCGCTTGTGATTTTGTTGCACTGCGCTTAGTGTTTCTGTAACTGGGTGCTTTGTAGTTGAGCATGACGGGGTAGGCTCCTCGAGCTTTCTCTCGAAGATTTGTCCGGGACAACTCGAGTGCACAACTAAAGAGGGCGACGGTGTAATGATGATTTGCTGCTTTAGTGGTCCCTTGAAGACTATGAGCGACACCTTTTGACTCGAGATTAGTTGCGGGTCATGGGTTGGATTCATCATGTGATGACAGTTTGATTCTAGTTTGGGCAAATTTTTGTGTGGGGTGGGTGGCTGCTGTATAAGAGGGACGAGAATGAGCTTGAGGATGCTACCTCATCATCACGAACAGCTTGTTGCCGCTGCACTTTTAACATTTCCCCGTTGTTCTTGGGACAGGATTTGTGGCGCAAGGAGAAGGGTACAGCATGTTGAAAATCATGAGGACGCCGTTGTTAGCCTTTGTAGTTAGTTTCCTCATGTGTTGTGTGTCTATGGCCCAAGCAGCGACCCCAGGCGCAGCGGTTCCGGTGAGTCCAACGATTGTTTGATGCAGTTTTTGAACTTGTTTCTCTGCTGCATGTCAATTAATGTCGTTTGGGTGGAGGGAGGAGTCTCCGAAGCGTTAAATTTTAAAGAAGCACTAATCTCATGAAAGTAGAATTCAAAATTTTCTGCGAGTAATGATTGTACAGCTGACGTCTCTTTGCGTGCGAATGGCCGCTGGGTAACTTGATTTTTCCATTACGATCCTTAGAATAATCAGCATTGAACTTGACGGTTTCTTTACTTTGATAACGATAAGGTTTTAATTACTGAGAAATTGGGTTAAACGTTATCTAAATTTTAATCACGACTGTACAAACCCAATGTTGTATTCATACATCGCCAGAAACTTTGCAGCTCCGCATTAGCTCGCTGTAAGAAAATCGATTGACTCAGCGTAGAGTGGCGCAACAATAGAAAGTCAACACTTAGGAAACTGATCTTGCTCGATGATTTTGTTGCAGCGCGTTTATCCTTTTCACTGGATTAAGGTTCATGGGTGGCTAATGTGGCTATCCATGGGACTTCTGATGCCCGTGGCTATCATACTGGTCCGCTTCTCTAGTGGTTACCGAGAGAAAGGTGACTTGAAAACCGTGAGAACTTTAGTCTACGCCCACATCTTCGTTCAGGTGTGCAACACTTCCATTTCCACGTTCCCCTTTCTTTCTCTCCATGTTCATCAGACATTGAATGTGACAAGATTTGATGGCGCAATTTTGAAATCAAGTTGTCCATCGACCTTTCAGGTTATTGCGGTGTTGGCGGTCATCTGCAGCGCGGTAGTCGCAATCACGAAATTCGACAATGCCTTCACTTACACCCATGAGCGGCTTGGTCTAGCGTTGTGGATATTGGTGTGGCTTGCACCACTTGTGGGCCTTATTCGTCCCCAACAGTTAATATTCTTACAATAATTCTGTGTTTTTGTTCTTTTTCGTAGTTTCACCTTCTATGAAATTCGGACAAATCATTTTCAGTTCAGTATACCAATTATCGTAGAGTCCATGTTAATTCAATATTTCTGGTTTATGCAGTGGAGTCCGATCCCGACCAATCTGGTATGGTATCCACTGGATTCTTGGAACCGCTGGAGTGGTGCTGGGATTCTACAACATTTACACTGGGCTGCATGCATACGAGGTGATGAGTGGAACGAGCTTGCGGACACTTCAGATTTTATTCTCAATCCAACTTAGTTTTTGTGCTCTCCTCTACCTCACCCAAGATCGGTGGCAATATCTGATAGCACAAGGCAAATATTCGAAGACCGTGACTCCCGTTTACAACGGGCAGAAGCCCAAAGCTGAGAACGAGAATGAAGTGTAGGACAACGCTGCAATTAGTATGTCCTTTCCTGACATACTCTCTTTCGAAAGGGCTGTAAAGTTGATTACATTGGTTGTGGTTTATTTCACCATTTGTCAATGTTAACAGATGTAGGCATCTGTTTGTCAAAGTGCTCACATGTGTGTAAGAAGCACATGTCATTTCATAAGTAGGTTTTTACATTCGGATTATAATAGATGTACATAACCATTGGCTGGATAATGTAGAAAAAGGTTTTTATCCATGAAAAGTTCCCATGGATAATTTTGCACTGTGCAAGTTGATATAATATGATAATTTCATTGGCTTGTCTGTTTGAGTTTTGTAACGGTGCATTCCAACAACATTATCAATTCACTTGCAAAAGATGACTTCTTTTAATTTGAAAATAGGGTGTGATTTGCACAAGTGCCCTACCTGCTAGGTGACAGTGGGTATCACATCCTACTGTGTATTAGTTGTATATACTTTGGTAGGCGCCCCTTTGCGATATATGATTGAAACATATGTCCCTCGAATCTACAACTTATAAACAAACTTCCAGTTAGTGTTACTAGAAGTCCGATTCTGGGTTGGGGCTTTGTAATGCAAATGGTAGACAGAACAGTAAGGAGTTGAGAGACCAACATTGTATAGGAAGTGGAGCTGTAGATACTCAGCAGATATGTTGGCGTTTATGAAACACCGAATAATTAACCCTTTAAGAGAATGTGTGGTTAGCGATACAATCAATAAACAGTGCACAACGATGCTACGGGAAAATGGCGTAATGTGTAAACTATGAAAATACAAATGTACATAATTACAGTAAATAACATGAAAGTACTAGGATACCCACCTGGATGACTTACCTAATTTTGATCAAGCAGTTTAGCACATTGCCAGCATTCGTGGCCCGTCTGTGAGATGATTGCTTCGTCTCAGGGGCTCCAAATACTTGCCAGAAACGCAAGGTCTCGTCGCCCGCAGCGGAAGCCAGTGTACCCGTCGGGGCTCTGGGCCAAGTGCAGAACTCTCGATGTATGGCCCGTAAACTCGGCCATCTTCACCATGGAGGGGTACTTCCACACGCACAGCTGGTTTTGACTGAATCCATGGGAGCTTAGAATCTCCTTCTCATGCTTGCTCCACTGTAGAGCACACACCTGGGATCCCGTGTCAATGCTATTCACACATACGCCTGTGTGCGAGTTCCAAAACTTGATGCATCGATCGGCAGTACCGCCGCCTGATGCAAGCAAGTTGCTCTGGAACGGGCACCATGCAAGAGCTTTGACGGCAGCCTGGTGCTCATCGAGGCGGTGAAGATGGGAGGATGAAAAGGACGAAGCCGCAGCCGAGTCCCAGATGTGGAGCAAATTGTCGTTGCCTCCGCTGGCGAGTTGCTGGCTAGAGGGTGACCATTTGAGCCCGCAGACCTCTTGCTCGTGACCACTCATCTTGCCTATCACATTGTGGCGAATTCTCACATCATGGTTCAATATAGTGCAGTCGCGGCTTCCTGTTGCTAGCGTAGGACCATGCCATGCTAAGGAGCCCACACGCGCTGAGTGACCCCTCAATGTCCTGAGCTGCATCACGAATTTACTTGTCAGGTAGGCAACTAGCTAATGAACCGTATACGACAAGCATCTTAGAGTCTATTGTGCTTATTCAACACAACTACCGCATGAAGCCACGGACCTGACGAAGAGACGATGAATCCCAGAGCTGCACAGTGCTGTTGTTCAACCCCACAGCGAGATATTGGCCATCTGGAGCCCAGGATACGCTTGTGACAGGTCCTTCCTCCTGAACCGTCATTAGCTCCTCGATGGAACTGGTGGTAGCGTCCCACAGATATACGGTGCTGCCGAGAGCAACAGCCAAGACATTGTTGGAGCTCCAGTCCATCAAATTGAGATAGTAATCGTCAAGGAGATCAGGCGCATCCAAAGTCCTCTCAGGAGCTTGTGGAATGTGACGGAACTTATTCTTGGGCATTGCCTCACCGGCTGCAATGTTCTGAGAGTACAGGGATTTGCGCCCGTTGTGGAATCCCTCGGGAGGAGGAGGAGGCTTGCTCTTGAATGCCAGAATGCGACTCTGTTCTTGGCAGTGATCGTTCAGTAGATTCTCCCCAAGTTGATTCCTATATACATCCTTGGATTGAAAGTTGGCGTCAGATGATGAGTTCTCCTTCGAGATCAGGTAATTCGCTATCTCGAAATTCATAGCACTTCGGTCGGTGATGAAACGGTCTGTCTAAAGTCAATCCGACACAGATTTAGAACCCTCGAAATTCAAATTCTCCTGATAACTCAATCAGTCTGCGTCGAAATCTTCGCAGTATCTAAGACTCAGGTACACTTCTTTCTGGGGATCTCAACATGGCAGCAAAATCTAAGAACTGAGGATTCCCATCAACACTGATTATAGAGAATTGGAAGCTATCCTCATGCATGCAGATTTCTTACAGATCTGTCAGGAGACTTCGACTCGACTGTCTTCGTCACAACAGGATCAGGACTGCTGCGCTCTCTCAAAGGAACACGCTTCCAACTTCCATTATCGGCATTCATGGTCGGGGTCTGGAATGACTTAGCGAGAGTAGCCATCCTCTGTCTTTGTCACAGTGTAGGTCTCTCACCGAGGACAGCCGGATCCAAAACCCTGCACAGCTTGTATTCCCACAATGCAACGACGATCCACATATACAATACCACTTACACAAAATGAACAATCAACAAGTAATCCAGAAATCAGTACAGTATGCACGAAGTATCAAAGCTGTTAGTAGAGAGTATGAATGTGCTAGTGCGATTGATAGAAGGTAGGGCAGTAAAGTATACTGGTGTATGTGAGGGGAATGTGACCTTATGTAGGACTGGGAATGTTGGGAGGGGTGAGGAAAGTGGTCCGACGTTACTTGTGTCCCCAACGGCTATGAATCGAAATTCATTCTTCTTTCATCAAGTCATCGCCGTTCTTCTTTCGATGTGGTCATCGCTGTTCGTCTTTCGTTCCTCCGACATGTTCGGTGATTTGGAAAAAAATAGCCAAGTCTCTGAACTTTGCCTGTGGTATTCTCTTCCAAGATTATGTTCTTCGAACATCCTCATTCACGCTCCTATTACTACATTCCACTAATTTATAAACAGAGAAGTCCTCCTCATCAACATACTCTCTCAAACACTTCAATGAATTGGGAATAGGATGTTACATTGGCAGGGAAACTTGAGCGGCAGACTTTCACATCTGGTAAACATTATTGTGTGGAATGTGGATCATGTGGATAATTACTACTTGCCATGCTTCACATCCTTGATTATAAAAACAATTCATCAGAATTCAGGAAGGAAAACGCCGCGTTCAGGTGGCTACTTTTAATTCATTGTCAGAGACTTTGATGAGCGTGGACATACCGCGCTGCTCATGCACATCAACATGCACTAGAAGGGACGCATTTAGCACGACAACCTGAAAAGCTGAAACCTACGCAAAAATACTTCTACCATGAGGGAGTTTTACAGCTGCTCCAGCCCATTCGATCTCTCCATAACGCTACCACGAGCAAGGAATTCAAGTAGAAACCAACAACAGATGCTTCATTCCTTACTAAGAAACTTGCGCAACAACAATGTCATCACCGAAAAACTACACGAGCAAAAGCAGAAGAATCATAAATGGAATGACATAAATTTTGCCAAAGCGCAACATAGCATTCAGCATGATAATGCAAATCCCCCAAAATTGGTCTTTCAACCAGTGCGAATCACTCAAGCGCTCTCTAGAGACTTCATTACTGTTACAGCCTACGACAACAATGACCTTCAGAAACGCGTCCCCTGCTACAAAAAGTCCTTGAATTGATGCTTCAACATTTCGCCGATCTTTATAAAGAAACCCTGATCTGTAATATGTTCTCCATATAAGCCTACTGATAGGATAATTGCCTTAATAGTACATTGGTCACACATTTCAAGCATTTGGGCCGATTCCTGAGATCCTTCAACCAGTTTTTGTATATCTTGTTTGTCATGGGCCCTGACCTTGTTTAAGCGAACCAGTGGTCCTACTATTTACACTATGGGCTCAAAGAGCTTGCGGTGGTGGTTCATTCCAGTGCCTTATCATCTCCTCCCAGTCACAATGCTCAGGAGTCGGACACAACTCCAGCCGGGGATCCCTAATTTTGATCTTCCAATGCCCATCGCTGTAGCTTCCAGCCTCCGCTTCCCTGCGCTCCACTTCCCGAGCTGCTTTAGCCAAAGTCCTGAGCCAACACTGCCGTTGAAGGTTCTCCGGCATGCTGTCGTGTATCTTAAACCATGTGGCGTGGGCCGAATCACTCGCGTACTTCTGTTGCTCCTTCAAGTTCCAGTTGCAATCGTAATCCCTAAAGCAAACCCATGGTTTCATGCCTAGGTAGTGGAGCACGTAGAGTTCAGGAGGATCTTCACCGAAGAGGCGAGTCTTAGTCTCCAACTCGTCGGTGTCATTCGACCAGAAGTGCTTCAGGAAGTTGACGCGCTTCGGAAGACGGTGCCACCATGGGAATATCTCGTTTAAGTAACCTTGATCGCCGCCGTTGTATGATCTGGTGTCCATGATTTGATCCAGGAGGATGCCGAACGTGCAGTTGGAGGGCTCAATCACCATCACTCCCGAATTGAAGCGGTTTTGGTCGTTTCCAGTGGCCGAAATCTCAGGCAATTGAAATAGGAAGTCAATGTTGCGCAGCACGAGAAGGTCAGAGTCGATGAAAACAATCTGCCAACAACCAGCAGCAGCCCCTTCAGAATTAATTTCTCCATATTGCAATTAACAAACCTGCAAACAAACAAACACACACATTTGTTCGAGGTTTAGGGTTTACCTTATCATACTCTGTGATCTGCCAGAGGCGAAACTTGCTGTAGTTCCATTCGTTATAGCGGTCTTTTTCTGCGTACGGGTTACGGATTCGTTCGATTTCACGCACCTGCCAGCCTGCTGCTTGCAAGGCTCGGCGCTGCTCGGGAAGGATGCTAGAGTCCACCAGCATAACTAGGTCCCGTGTAGAGCCGGACAGACGAATGCTGTGTGCCAATACAATTGCCCCGCAGACATAAGACGCATCAGTGTGCACCATGGATACGTAGGCTTGCCTCCTCTCATTGCCCGTCCTCGCAGCAAGTTGCTCTGTCATAAAAAACACACCAATTTTAAGCGAGCCAAACCAATCGTCAAGGCTAATCATTAAAAAGATTATAATCCACAGGGACAACAATTCCATCTCACGGAAACATTATGCTGTACCTGGATAGTTAATGGACAACGATAGCTCGCACGATCCGACTGGTAGAACCAACCGGCTCCTCATATTGACAAGGTTCACGTGGTACAGCCACATCTTTCCCTCGTGTTCTAGGAGCTCTCCACAAGGGAAGATATTCAACGGCGGCCGACACTCGCTAATGATCAGGACATCCATTGCCTCATCTCCCGTCTGGCTTGCAATGCTGGCTGCAGACAGAAAAAGCTGCAGTCGTTGAACGTTTCGCTCTCCACCTGACTCTTGCGGGTTTTGGCAAGAAACTTTGGCGACCAAGAGGTCGAGCTTTGTCTTCTCGCGCACACATGGGAAGGGCAAGGACGGACACATTGGAGTTTCGAAGAGCTCCTCTTCGTCAATCCACTCGGGATAAAAATCCGACCATGCAAGGCTCTGATTAACTTGGGCAAAGGGAAAGAAGATGGGGATGCGTCCATGCGCATACTCTTGCCATCCCAAAGCTTCATCTTTACCGATGTTGAGTAGTCCGATACTTGGCCTCTTGCCTAACTGAAGGTTCTGTCCTAGCAGCAACGCCACATTACCTGTTATGGACTTCCCATCACTCGAGGCTCCTCTTCCTCCATCATCAATATCATTTACTTCTGGCAAATTGGAAGTGCAGGGATCTGACCTTACCCTGGGTCTGCAATTGCGCATGTATTTCAGGTCAAGCACTCATCAACGAGCAGGTAATAGTTTGATTGTCTGCTTGGTGAAAAGAAAGCCTAAATCCACAAGCAAGAAAGATCTGTTCTTCTAAAAATACCGAGGTAGCTTCAATTCAAAAGGAGCACATGTGTAAGAGAAGCGCTAACCTTGTACTTACGGTATGTCTGGACTGCCCAAAAAATGAGTGCCAGTCAGTGCTAACCGTAAAGAAGAGAAAGATCATGGTGAGCACACCGAGAGTGAGCATGAGAACCCGCTGGGGCGTTTTGGGCAGCAGCTTGAGTTTTCTGGGGTCTGAATAAACAGAAATACATCTCCGACTCCAACTCGCCCCGGCAGCCCCACTCCGGATATACTGTCTCCTGCTCTCTCCATCTCTGAAGATGTATCACACACGGACACTCAGCATAATGCAAAGCCTAAACCAACACGAATACTTTACTTACACGGGTTTGGCTCCACCCTCATCTCTAAAGGACTTCTGTGACTAGTCGTTCATAAAAAAAAATTGCCAAATTTGCTATTTCTCTCTCTCTCTTTCTCCCTGAAGTCCTCGTCATCTTCATCACTCCCTCCCGCACTTTTACTCAAAAGAGGAATGCAAGGAAGACGATCCACTAGACTAATAACACCTGAGGCGGTTAGAAATGCAGAGAGATATCTTAAGAGAACATTCAACAATCTGCAAATCTGTGGTCAGACGGAAACTCACAAACCGGTAGACGCCCTCATGACACGGAGTCCAATTCTCGATGCCCTCATCTGCTGAATCTCCTCTTGCTAACCAACAGATTTCAAGGTCATGTATCCAGTGGGGCAAGTAGCCAAATTAATCTGACAGCGTAGCTTCTGGCTTGGCTCATTGGAACGATCACCAGGCGAAAAACTAAAAGATTAAGAAAACCGAGCTAATATGTGCCAAGCAGTGATCAAATCAGACGTCGCTAGACATCGCACCACGCTCGCGGGGAACCTGTGCTCCTAGGAGCACAAAAATGAAAACTGACCGAGAGCATAAGCACAAGACAGGACAGCTGCCAAGCAAAGGTCGAACAAAAACTACAGACTGTTAGATGTTAGCTGTTAGCTGCAGAGCCAACCGTGAGATCACACACCCACAATGTGCAACAAAACAACTGTGGGATTTCTTGACAGCAATAGGCACGGCGCGAAAACCTCAGAAAAAGTTTCACGGTCGACTAAACAAGGCCTGAAACTAACACGCCGGAGCAACACAGGACTGGGGCGAATAATCCAGAGCTAGATGCCATGGCAAATGGGGGAAGTCGATAGAAAAGCATGGCACAAGAGTCAGACCGCCGACATACGACACTCCCCATAAAAATAAAAAATAAAAATAAAAAATAAAAAACTGAATCTTGAGCTCGCACCTTCGCAACAAAGCGGAGCTGGACTTGGAATGACGCACAATCAGCTAACATCTAACAGTCTGTAGTTAGTGACATCTAAAGATAGCTTCTCTAGAGACGAAGCTCAATTGTGTAGGATATAATGAGAACCTTGGTCTGATACTGGCAACGACCAGGGTGGTCAGATTATTAGAAACCGAATGCAAACCTGAAAGCCATACTGGGTGGGTCCAGAGATATTAAAGTCCTGGCAACAGTAGCAGCGTTATGAGGCATTGAGGGAGGAAGAGTCAGAAAGCGGAGCAGCTTGATTCGACGCTTCCACGACCCCACTCCAGTCGCCGGTCGGGGCTGACACCTCTCGCCTACATAGTACACATTCCCATCCCCATATAATCAAGTCTTACTAAGTGTAATGAATGGGCGGATGGATATATAAATGGATGGATATATGGATGGATGATAATACAGGTAAATAAAAAGGATAAATCAAACGTTACAAATATTTGTGGCACCCTTGTAACACCAACGTGACATAATATGTTTGAGAGTGCCAAAAATTTATGTATCTGTTATATAAGTCACTACTAATATAAATATCAAGAGAGATAAAGAAGTCATACTTTTGGTTCATGCATTTTGTGCATATTGAGTAAAGTTCTTATAGGTTTGGATTAGAGAATTCATGGATTTAATAGGTACTTTGCATGCATAAAGAGAGTTTTAGCATGCTTGAAAAAAAAAAAAAAAATTCATGTGCAAAAAATGAATGTTTGCAATGTTTACAAGGAAGAAGTTATAAAGAAATGTTTACAATGTGAAAAGTGTTGATGTATACTAAGTTCATTAGAGTTCTTTATCAGAATAAAGAATAGTATAAATAAATAAATAATACTTGTATAATATGCTCTAAAATCCAAGTAAATTTATAAACTTGTAGGTATAATTTGAAAGAAATAAACAAAATTATTATATGGTGTTTCTATTATTATTCGACCTCCTAAAAATTAATAACACCTAATAATCAATTGAAATTTTGGAATTTGAGTTCTATAATGCATAATTAATAATATGTAATTTATTATAATTAAATTATTTTTATAGATTTTTATTAAATAAAAAGGTAATTAACAAAGACCATGTGGTTACCATGGTAGAAGTAAGCATCCTAAATTGTAGGGTCCATGCAAGGATGATTTCCATCTTACCTTCAACAAACCACCTTTGATAATTAACAATCTATGATAATTAATATATTTTTCCTGTAATGAATGATATTAATTATCAAGAAGAACATTGTATATACATGTGTGTTTATATATAAGTGTGTGTAATACTATTAACCAAAAGCAATTAGATAAAAAGATAAAATTGTAAAATATCAAAACCTTAGATGGAAAATGAAACTCTATACTTCATTACAACTAATCTGTTAGAAATATCAAAAATTTAAAATCACATGATATATATCAAATGATATTTTAGTCATTTTTAAACATTAATCGAATGTTAAGCTTGTATATTTATAATATGTATCAGATCACTGTCATGTACTAAATGCTATAATTTTCAAGTTTTATCTTGGAAAATTGCAACAAAATAATATATTTGTCATCAATAAAATAAGTATATAAGGCCACTAAATTAAATTAAAGTTAAAAAATTAAAAATATGAAAACTAAAATTTAATAGTGATTTTTTATTAATCATAGGAAAAAATTATATCTATATATATATATATATATATATATATGTATATATATATATGTATATATATTAAACAACTTAATAAACATTGACTTTGATTTCAGTTACTTTGTCACACCCTGTTCTTGTTATTATTATTGATGATGAAATGGGTGATATTAGTAAAAGTTACATTTTTTTTGGGTAAATTAACAAATATAATGAACTACTTTTGCATACATTTACTAATTTCAAATTTATAATAATGTACAAATACAACCAATTCATTTTGACATTGTTATGCATTTTTAATCCTTTTGTTCCATATTTCTTAATTATTGTATATGTTAGTATAAAATAATAATTACTTTAACATCAATGAATTGAATATTCTATAAGTTTTAATATGAGAGATACAGAAAATAAAATAAGCTTGTAGTAATTCAAATATTTACGACACATGTGCAAACAGATTGATTTAGACTTTAATTAAAAACAATCCAAGCTTTCAGTGCTCTAATGTGTATACTTTCAAATTATGAACATGACTTGACAAATTCTTTAAGTAAGAAATCAAATTATAAACAATAACTATAATTGGAATCGAATGATGTTTATAGAGTAACCAAAAATAAACCATCAACATCATTCAGACAGTGTTGTTTGGTCTAGAATATAATACAAAAAAAAATTGTAACTTTATTTAATAAAATACTATTATATTAATTCCTATGCATTCCAATTTCTTCAATTTAAAATAACGTATTTAAAACTCCAGTTTTGTAGCAATTATTTATTTGTCCATACCACACAATTCACAAATCAGTTTGAGAAGGTCATTGTAAAGTACTCATTAGACATATGTATTATTTTATTTTATTTTATTTTTTTTAAACAATCTACAAATTAAACTGAACAATCTTTTTCCAAACAGAACAAAGAAAACCTTCCTGCATATCAATAATTCTAAAATACATCACAAACAACACTTGTACATGCAACTACGATTGAATTTCACCTACGACGACAGATTCAACACAATCGTCTCAAAACTTCAAAGCCCAATGGCAACAAAACTAGACGACAGAGCTTTCTCATGAAACTGCATGGCAGAAACAGGATCCATCGCATATCAAAAGAATACGAATAAGAAACAAAAAAAAATAAAATAAATAAAGGAAATAAGAGTAGAAGAATTATCCCATAAAAGGAGCAATTTACCATGTTTTTTTGGTGAAGAGATTGATGAAGTGCCGACAACAATGTTTCGCTATTTCACAAAACCATGCACAAGCTTCAGCATTCGACCTTGGACTTGATGATGGACTCGTCCTCAAGTGCAAGACCTGTTTCAGTTTGTGAAGAGGTTGAATGACAAGAGCCAAATCCTGGGCAGCACATCGACTCCATTTAGCTGTGACGGAATCTCATCAAATGACTTGAAACTGAGAATTAGGGTTTATCTGAGGGAGACTTGAGATGATGACAACGGCATCAGCAGTTGTTGCAGAAAGCACCAGAAGTATGAATGGTGTTCGTCAGTAGCAGCCGTGGTTCGCCGCAGGAAATCTACCTCCAGGTCGAGGGTTCTTCCAGTAAGGAAATAAGCTTTGTGGGTCGCCTCCGAGAGCAACTTTTGCCGTTCAATGAAAGCCAGCCCACCTCAAGACCTCGCGTTCCGGTATCATTCAAGGCTCGCAAAAGATGCCCATCTGACCGTGATCTCGGTCTTGATCGGCGATTTTCCGATTCGAGGAAGGCATCGTACATGACCACTTCCTTACTCTAAATGCTAAATTGAGGATTGATAGTAGAAATGCTAAATCTCAAAAATGCATCACAAAACTCGCTATAGAACGGTCCACCCTCTTATCAAACAACTATCATACCCTCCATCGCTCCCCGCCCCCACCGCGTTGCAAACCCCCTCTTTGACTTCACAACCTCGTCGCTCATCCGCTTCACAACTTACAAACTTCTTCAATTCAGGGTCGTAACGATTTCATAGTTCGTTCGACTGTATTTCACAAACCTTCAACTTCTCAGTACTCGTCACAAACACCACCACTGCACCAACCATCAGAGATAACACCGAATCGAACTGGTGGGGAACAACTTTATAGCCCAGATCTCTACCACTCTACCTATCATTGTCCTCAACAGTTAGATAGCCCTAAAGTAGTAGCCTTGTGCGTAGGAAGTGAAAACTGAAATGGCAACACCTAATAAGAGCAGAAGGATTCTTACACCACGGGGACCGTCGGATCTATAGTGGTGTGGACAACAAAAGCACATAGCTGACATTATTTTTGGCTACTGTGAGGTCTGCGAGCCAAGCCGACCCCACCAACTCAAGTCAAAACCTGAAATAGCCTCATATAGTGGCAAAGTACAACCCTTACCGCTGGATATCCCACGCTGGGTACGTTATTCTAATACCAGTCCAAGATGCACGCACTGTGTCGATGATCTTTTGGGAGGATTAGGTCTGTTGGAGTGTAGTGGAAGTGTAGATCGCAGAATGAATTCCCTTACGATTGCTATTTTGGTTATGCTATAGCAGGGAGGGAAGGATGACGGAGTCGCCTGTGGTTTCGATTGGAGCATGGTAGCGAGGGAATTCCTCAACACTGTTACAGCACGGAGGATCTTGTGGAAATTTCGGTTCGCTGCCGGGAGAAGGGTGTGTCTCAATCTCTTTGACAGGTTTGCGAAAAGCGAGGGTGTAGAGAGAGTCAAGGCTGTGATCGTAGGTTAAGTCTGCGTCGATGTTAACGGACATCGTCAAGTATATGTACTGCGGAGCTGATGATATGAATGCACAGCAACCCGACGCAGTTGGTGTCGATGTTAAGTTGTGGCTTATTTGAAGCGAGGAAGTTCGAAGTGGTTCAAAAGACACTTCCTTCATCATTAGCAGGGTTAGATTAGATGTGCTCAAAGTTACCTTCTGGTGAGGAGACTTGAATTTCGGTGGAGATTTTAAATTAATTGTTAGATCAGTAACTTCGTTTCAATAGAAACTTGATTTCGACTGTGATTATAGGTCATTCTGGAGTTATTTGAACCACCTCGATGACCATGGGGGGAGAGAAACGACCTCTTGATAGGGATCCTTCGAAAGATGGCATATCGGACAATAAACGTCTTCGATCGCAGCCTGCCAGGTTTGGACACCTTCTTATTGATACTATTCAGCCTGATTGACGCCATGCATAGACAATATGAGGTCCAATATAAACTCTAACTAGAAATTTACAATGGTAACCCATTGCCTATTTTCTTTTAATGATGCAGTATCATAGCGGAGGCTGTGAAAGGGGATAGCCTGCAGAAACTGTGCTCAAGTTTGGAGCCTATGCTTCGACGTATTGTAAGTACTTTTCCACACATTGCCCTCAGCTTTGGGAGGGACACTTGATGTTTTTTGTTCTGACTTCAACAATCTAATTGAGTAGAGGAGATGACCTCTACTTTCACTGATGTTTAGAATCTTTTGTTAGGTACAGAACGTCTACTTTCACTTATGGCGCCAACTGAACTAGTTGATTCCACTTGAACTACAACTGGAACTTGGTGTTCAGTTCAGCTTCAACTAAATGAATGGGATAAGAGGTTTATGTAACACTCATAAATGGTTCGATCAATGGAACAATGCAGGTTGCTGAGGAAGTTGAACGTGTTCTTGCTAAGCTCGCTCCTCCAACATTGGGAATTCGGTATGCATAATGTCCTTTTTTCACCATGTTAACTGAACTTTTACTGTACTGTTGTGTCTACTTACTATTCGGGTATCAACATAACTCAAATTCGTCTCTGATCACAAACTTTGTTCCTTGAATTAATGTTTGCAGACCCTCACCTGAAAGGATTCAAGGCCTAGACCAAAAACATTTACGGTTGGAATTCAGGAATAAGCTAGCTCTTCCTCTTTTCACTGGGAGCAAAGTTGAGGGAGAGCAAGGTTTGACAATTCACGTTGTTCTACAGCATGCCGGCACCGGCCAAGTTGTTACCACTGGTCCAGAGGCTTACGCCAAGCTGGACATTGTAGTTTTAGAAGGCGATTTCACAGCAGAGGACGAGGACACTTGGACTCGGGAAGAGTTTGAAAATTTTGAGGTCAGAGAGAGAGACGGGAAAAGGCCACTTCTTACTGGAGACCTTACTGTCACTTTAAAGGATGGAGTGGGTACTTTGGGAGAGTTGACGTTTACAGATAATTCTAGTTGGATTCGCAGTCGCAAGTTCCGACTTGGCGTGAAAGTTGCATCTGGATTTTGTGAGGGATTGCGAATTCGAGAAGCCAAGACTGAGGCCTTTACCGTGAAGGATCACCGTGGAGAGCGTATGATTCAAACCTCTCGTTCGTCTTGAGTAGATTATTTCGTGACCCAGGGTATTCTGTTATGTGACCTCTTTATGCTTTGCTCGTTATCGTCATGAGATCTACTGGTTCAAACCTACAATTTACTCCAGAGTTTGTTGATTATTGGCATATAGTAATTTTTCTTGCATTTTTGTTATCACTTGAAGAAGTGTGAACAATTTGTGGAAATATAAAAATGAGTATAATATTGTTTCTGAGCCTCGTTGTTGGTCTCATTCTGCAGTGTACAAGAAACATTACCCGCCAGCCCTGACTGATGAGGTTTGGCGGTTGGATAAAATTGGCAAGGACGGTGCTTTTCACAAGCGTCTCAATCAATCTCGTATTATGACAGTCGAGGATTTTCTGCGCTTGGTTGTCATGGATCCTCTAAAGCTGCGGAACGTAAGTATCACATTTAAACTTGTGTCACGCATTATCATGTGTGGTACTTTAATCGTGAAAATTCGGATTCTAATTTTGTTTGATTTGTCCAGATTTTGGGAAATGGTATGTCGAACAAGATTTGGGAAGGCACGGTGGAGCATGCGAAGACTTGCGTTTTGAGTGGAAAGTTACACGTATACTATGCCGACGAGAAGCAGAATATTGGCGTTATATTTAACAACATCTTTCAGCTAATGGGGCTTATTGCTGATGGTTCGTACATGTCGGTGGATTCTCTCTCTGACAGTGAGAAGGTGGTGTCACTACACCCTCATTGAGCTCTCCGTCACATGGGCGTAATTTGAATAACAGTTGAAGATGCTGTTTGTTCTATTGGTGATTGTTATGTACACCGATTTTCTTAACGTTTTTCAGTGACTTTCGTTCTGAACGAATTAGGTTATTTGATGCCCAGGTTTATGTGGATAAACTAGTAAAAGTAGCATATGAGAACTGGGAGAATGTGGTGGAGTACGATGGAGAGGCTTTGGTCGGTGTGAAGCCGTTACATCAAGCAAAAGGGTTCGATACTCGCACTGAGGACCCACTGGGTGGACGCAAAGTATCCAGTATGTCCAATATTTCCAATATCCACTCCCAAGGTCCGAATCTGAACCATAAGCAAGCCTACAGACATGAAAATTATTTTTAGAGGATGTCATTACATAAGTATACTTACCCAGAATTCGAATGGTGGGCGAGTAAGGAGCAGCCTTTGAACTTAAATTTAAGCGTGTATTATTAATTTTAAAAGTAAGTGTCAGCACGATCCACAGGAGTTTCTGTTGAGAGCTTTCAGGTATAGCTTGGCGAATGGACGTTTAGCTGCTAGGGTACTGTGGGTATGCAACTGAAAGACGATGCGTGTAACGTAAATACTATTGCGCATGTGCTGGCACAACCACTGCAGCACCTCTTTCAACACAATAGAAGAGTTAGCCTTGTGGATACGCCGTGGGAGATTATGTGGACTGTAGATTTCAACTCTTGCAGTCTTGGTCACCTTCAAGTGCTTATGTTCTGGAGATATATGCTAACTAAGTTAGATATCTAAAAGCATTGAGAGCTTTTTGGGCTTTGACTTACATAAAGAACATAATTTGATTGTAGGTTAATATGTAATGTAGAACGTTCTAACCAGTTTCTGGCAACTTCGTTGTCAACTGCAGAAAGGCACCTGTATCAAGTTTGTCTACTTCAGTGTGGGTTCAGATGGTTCTGTCGGTGCTATTGTGAGCTGCTGAAAGCGCTTTTTTTTTTTCACATTCAGCTTGAATGTGTTCTTGGATGTTTGACGTTTCTATAGCTGATTCGTTACTTTCATTCGCCATTTTGCAGATAGCGCAGGTAGTGGTAGCGGGTCAAGATCGGAGTCTCTTTCGTACGGACAGGAACCAATAAATATGGCTCCACGATCATTTCCTGGTTCTATTGGTCAGCTTCCAGATAACCAGAGTATCACGGGACCCGTCCTGCAAATGAATAGCAGCACTGAGACTTATCATCAACTTGTTTTGCCGAATCCTCTCGAGAATTCACTGCTTGCAGGGCACACTGGGCTAACCGGTCTAGCTCTGGGTCCCTCTCAAAGTAGCACGACATCGTCAAGCTCGGGCATGAATGCCTTGGATCCCACTCTGATGAATGCTTCTACTTCAGGCACAAGTGATTGGCGGCGGCGGCAGCAGCAGCAGCAGGAGGAAGAGGGAGAGCAGCGACAGCAGCAGCAGCAATCTCGGCCCAACCTTCAACGGCAGGAGAGTCTTGGCAGAATTTTTCCAACTGAAGATGAAATTCGTTCCCAAAGCTTGGAGCTTTTAGACAGTGAGGACATGCAAACACAGATTCAGCAGCTGCTCCGTCTGTATAATGGACAGATGGGCGGCATGCCATTTAGTCCGTATGGTCCCATGACTGATGATACATTTCCTCTTTTTGGGTTACCAGTTGCAGGTGAAGAGGCTGTGGATGAGCACAAGCCCCGACCAAATGGCAAGGCATATGTGAGCTGGTTGAAGTTGAAAGCGGCATTGCATTGGGGCATTTTCATTCGGAAACAAGCAGCTGCAAGGAGGGCCCAGCTGGAAGAGGCTGATGAACAGGAGTGATTAACCCGGTTCTACACCAGTTGGTAGTGCTGATTCCATGGAGGTATCAGGTCCTTCGGATCAACAATTCGTCCTGTCGATCCTTCCATCCCTCTTTGGTGCCCCTCAAGCCACTTCAAAGGTAATTTGTTGTTGGCAACGAACATCAGATTATGCCTTTGCGAACACATCTTGTGAATATCAGAGCAATCGGGCGTAATTTGGCGTCAAAGATGGGGCCAACGTATTTATACTTCTAGTTTGTATGGCTTCTTTGTGCCATGGAATATGGAACTCATCCTTTGATAACACAATACTGCAGTCTGCGTATATGCGGTGATTAGCAGCTATGCTTCCTGCCAGCAAGCCGCCGATGAATTTTGCAGGTAAAACAGCTTGGATTTGCTAGTTTTGGAGTATGAGGTAGATTATTGTGCCCGACGCATGGACTTGTACACATGTTATGCAGCAAATTGGAGGGAGGAATGCAACAATTGGAACAGAAGCAAGTGTTACAATAGCTTCAAAAATATAGCTTCCTCATGTTGACCTTTGTTGACCTTTGAAGGGCAGCCATTTTTTTCAAGAGATGTGTAACAATGGAAATATAGAGAGTAATTAATGTTACTCATTAGTTTAAATCACTGGTATGATAAATGTAGGATTATATTAAATCCTTTTTTTCTTTTCTTTTTTCTTTTCCTTTTTGATTCATGTTCTACTAGGTGGGAATTTTGAGTAGCTAAGTGGAGGTTTTGAAATATATATTTGTATACATTCAAAATTATATAATAAGATATTATTTTCTTGTTGTTTTTTGTTTGGACAATAGCTTGTTACATGTGTTTTACATTGTGTTGATTTGGTTCATGTGTATTAATCTTTGTATACATTTTATGTATATTTTTGTTCATTAGTTTAAGAAATTGGTATAATAAATGTAGATAATGTATGTGGTTGTTCAATAATTCAGTTTTTGAATCTTATAATAGTTAAATGTGTATTTGTGTATTAGTTTTCTTATTCTTCTTGCCATTTGTTCTATAATTATTATTACGATTTAATTTCTATGTAGATTTTAATTATTTTTTATTAGTGCAAAGTTAATAATATATGTGTATATGTTATGAGCATGATATTGTTTTGTATGTTTTAAATGTGTTATTTTTATTTTACTATTGAGAAATTTATTGCTTGCATCTAAATACATGCATTTATTTAGTATGGCCTTACACTATGAATTCATAATTTTAACCTCACACTATTTAGTCTGAATTTAATATCAATTCTTTGTACAAGTTAGTAAGTATTTTCTAGGACAAATTAATTAGAATTGGTATTAGAACTAACTTGCAATTTCTTTATATTATGAGATAGCCAAGGTTTTAGGTATTTTGATAAGCCTAGAAATTAATTAATTAATTAATTAGGTATCAATTAGACATAGAATAAATCTTACATGATATTAGAGCAAGCGAGATGCCTTGCTTCTACTTTGTTTCTAACTAGATTTGCTTGTGTAGAAACCAAACTTTAGAAACACCTACTTTGTTTGTTTTTATTATCCCTTCTTCATTTGACAGCTCCAATTATACAGCTTACAAAACTATTTTTTAAAGGTGACAAACTTGATAGTAAAAACAATTCTATTATATAGAGATTTCAAGTTTAAGTCTTCTTCATGCAAGATGGAATATGAGACAAATTCAAATTCAAGCAACTTATAGAAACTGTGTCACTAGCTATAGTCAATACAATGGTTGCTCTGCCTAATAACAAAACTATTATCAATAGAAGAATTAAGAATCTAGCAAATCTTTAAGATAATATTTCACTACCATTGACTACCCATGAAGGGAAGAAGAAAATAATCAAAGCAATCTTCATCTTCACAACCACCATTAGGGATAAATTCTTACTAACAATAGAAGGCTTCTATACTGATTTAGTGGAATGTAAGACCTACTTCAAACAAAAATATTGTGAGGACCTACTTGAACAAAAAGTGAGGCTAGAACATCAACTTCAAAATATTAATATGATGGAAGAGACAACAATAGAAGTCTATCCTGAACAAATTGAAAATATCACTAGCAAGCTAACTAACATGAGTGTTGAATTAGAATCCATTAAACTAATGCACATTATCTTGCAGGGACTCTCCAACAATTGGAGACCATTCATTTCACAGTTTGGTATTGATCTTACTAAAAATCCCATGCATAGTAATTCAATATTTATAAAATGTATGCAAATTAAAGAATTTTAGAAAAAAAGTTGCTAAAATGAAGTCAACAAAGAGGTCATGTATACCAAATTTTGCAATCAAGTCATATATCCAAACAACAATTACTAGAGGTACAAGTTACATGGCTGATGTGGTTGCTCAATCCTTAGATGTTATTACCCATGTTATTGAGAGACAACACATAGATGAGGATTGACATATGTATGTAGCTATTGCAATTAATTAGAACATTGAGAAGTCAAATGTGTCTTAAAATAATTCAATGTACATATTGCAATATCATAGGCTTGTATTAAGTGATGCATTGTCATAAAGATTCCAATCATATACGAGGCTACCTCATTGAAATATTTGACCTACACTACTTTAGATATGATGAGTAACAAGATATTTCAAAAGAACATTTGAAAGTAAACATCTGTGCTTACCACATTGTGCTATAGTACATTGATTTTTCTTGTGTTCAATCTTATGATTATAGAAAGAGAACTTTAAGATAGTTTTAAGCCCCTTACTTCTAATGGCAATGTCATTAGTGCCAATGATGCTTCATTTCTATTTTTTAAAAATGAAACTATTGGTAATAAATCTTTAAATAGTATTTTGTATATACTAAGATTGATAAAAAAAATCATACCTTTATAAAAAAATATTAGGTGATGTTAGATTTGACTCAATATTTTCATCCACTTTATGTCTAGTTTTTAATCAAGAAACATTGCTACATGTTGTCTTATATGCAATAACTATAAATTATATTATTAAATATTAGATTCCAAAATTAAAAACGTCTTTTTTTTTATGTATATTGTCTTTAATTTTGACCAAAATACTTATAGCATATGAAACTACTACAATCATATATGCTTTTGCTATCACTTCTATAATATTACTATTGATGGCCTCAACAACTAGTATCAATGACTCTATATCCATCATTGAAATCTTTATAAGTTTATTTCAACAACCAAAGAGTCATTGTAGCAACTATAATGGAGAGGCTTACACAACCACTAATCAACAAATTCCAAGACATACTAGTAGAACTATTAATATTAAAAAGAATATTGATGCAAGTATATTGAAAATCAAAACTTCAATTCTTTTCGTGCCACCAAACCATCTCCAAATACTTACACATGAGAGTTATCTACACCCTCATTATTATTTGCAAAAATACATTACTTCTACTTATTGCATATTTGAAAACACTTATGGGCATAACTAAAGGAACATTTCACTTTATAACACCAACTTCTTCTAAAGTTGAGAGTATTCATGAAGCCAACTTGCTACTAGCACCATATCTATAATCCTTTGCTTTTTGTATTACATCCTTATTTGTTGGAGATTATGCTAGTGTAACTTCTTTGCAAATAGAATCTACAATCAAATATAGCAAAGTAAGCCAAAACAACCTTAATAATCTATGACACAAATATCTCAGTCAATTCAATTATCAATTAGCCTATTACATAGGTGTACAAAGTATGACCACTATAATTTCATCATTACAACTTATAAAATGTAAATGTCTTTTTGTCACAAATATACATATTTATCTACATTAAAAGAATTAAATAAAAATAAATAGAAGTAATTAAGTTTAATAATATCTTATAGAAAAGCTTCTTAAAAGCTTAATAGATGATATTTTGACTTTACATGCATTTATAGGTGATTGATAAGTTGAAAACTTAACCACATGTTGCACATGTTAATGACTTATGGTATAAGTTAGCCATATGATATACATATAGAAAACTTGTCTTATAAGTTAGATATGTATCAAAGATCCTACAGAATATTGCCACATAGTTTTTAGTTAAGTAGAATATATGGAGACAAGAGTGAAACCTTCCTTATTCTTTTCAATGCCTTTTTTGATTTTATTCTTATTTAAAGAGTCTATAGTCTTACTATCTTTAATAATAGCTATTTTAGTTTTAAATTTATACTATCTTTAAATAAATACCTACTCTTTTCTAGTGATATAAGAATATATTAAGGTTTTTATTATTTGTGATTCATATCCTTAATATCTTATATTTTGATTTTTGATTTTATTTTAATAAATATAAATAAAAAAATACATTCATTGATTTTACATAATTCACATGGATTTATTTTCTAAAATTGTTTTTTTGACACTTCCAAATCTTCAAACAAAAGTTCAAATAAAAACTAGAGATTAGAATCTTGTACCTTTGGAGTGACAAAGGTAGCAAATATCTTTCTATATAATTCTTAGATTTTTGCTCTATCCATAGCATAAGACATCAATTTATTACTCCATTGATTCTTCATTAAAATGACATTATCAAAAAAAAAAAAATTACATCCTTCTGAAAGCTATCCACAACATTCACTTTGATAGAAAATTCTTACCTTTCATATAACTTAAATGTATTTAAGTTATGTTATAAGTCCTTAATCAAAGTTCTACTTGCGTATTCATCAATAAAATATATTTCAAAGTAGTCTACAATAAAAAAATAAAATCTTATTCATCTTTGCATTTTTAGATGCACAATATATATTTACATTTCAAAAGAATTCAAGTACAAATTCCAAGCAAAAGTTTTAAATTTGTCTTTGCTAACTACGAAAATTTACAAAAGACTACTTCCAACTTCTTTGACAATCTACTATCTTTTAATAACATATTTTCATCAGATTTAGAGCTAAAGAAAAAAACACAAGAAAATATTCAAATCAACAATAAATTTGGAAATAAACCAACATGTAAGGATATATTTTACAAAGATTCAAAACATCAGTTTGCATCAAAAGTATAATGTCACAATTCTTTTCTATTCTAGATCATAAATGAATCAACATCTATTTAGTCAACTCAAAGATCTACCAAAAGAACTAAATGCATCATATCCACATGGTTTCACAACTACAATCTTTAAATATTATGTATTGCTAATACATATGATATCAAAACCACCAACCAATTAAACAATGATGTAAAAATCAAAGTAGTTCTTAATAATCGACTCCAAAAAGAAGCTATAGATGAAAAATATGACTTTCTCATAAAAAATTACATTTGAAAATTCACACAATTCTTATTATATAGATGTATTGTTTCAAAAAAGTAGATCTTTAAGACCAAACTAATGATATAGAAAAAAAAATCAAATCAAGACCATATTCAAAGTTAGATTTATTTTATAAGAACTTAAGCAATAAAAAGGCATCAATTACCATGATACATTTGCTTCAATAGTAATATGGTCCTCTTTCAAAACCTTAATTATATTTATTATATCCATAGATTGAAGCATCAACCACATAGATGTTGTCATAATTTTTTTGTGAATAAAACACTCAAATAAGAAATGTACATATAGTAATTGACTGAATTTTCTAAACCAAGACATGAACACTTCTTATGCAAATTACTTATATCAATCTATGGATTGAGTAGTCACCTCTATTATGTTACTCAGAAATTGATAATTATCTCTAGAGTATTGCTTAAATACAAAACTTCTTTGATTCTAATTTCTACTATGTAATCAAAAGAACTATCATTATAATCCTCCTAACTTATCAAAAGATCATGTTAT